GAAGTGACAATAGGCTGGTTTTCTTTATACAGCCCGTTTTAAATTCGTATTATTGTTATAATAAATTACAATTATTGTTTGTTTCCATTTCTGTCAACCGCGCAAATTATTTATTAAAAAAATGTCGTTTAAAAATAGCAATTTTGTTTACTTTTGAATAAGACTTTATCGAGTGCGCTATAAAGACAGGGGGATAAATGCTGTAAAGAAATATATGTTGAGTCCAATCGGTTTTTTGCTAATCCGGTTTTTGTGTAGGTATAAACAAGGTATATTAAAAAAATAAATCTCCATGAAAAAATATCGTTATTTTCGTATTTAAAATTAATCGGAATTTTATGCGGGGTTATAAAAACTCGTTTTAATTGAAACTTTGTTTTTTTCGGCTATATTTGTTATTATTTATTGGCCCAGATGCAAATATTGAATGAAGTAACATATTTTAAATATTTACGGAACTACCATTTGTATGCAACCCTGCCTATCCTGTATTCAAGTAGATGTAATTCGAAAAATTTAAACGGATTTCTTTAAATCAACCTGAGCTGCGGACATATTGCGAATTCATTTTAAAACATTAACCACTACATTATATTAGTATTAAATACTTTCAATTAAGAAACAATTCTTACTAGAAAATAAATATGAATCGGTTTATTTTAAATATTCCAATGTATATTTTTTGTTAATGCAGATAGTGCGGATTTAACGTATTTTATAACCGTTACATGGGGAAAAGAAATTTTAGGCAGATTGTTATTGACAATTTTTACATAATTTACGATTGCAATCAATTTCTTTCAAAACTATAATCTAAATGATTGCAAGTTGTATTTTATACGATCAAAACAGATTCCAATATTAGGTATATTATGCAAATGCAATCCAATTTGATTTGAGTTATTCAGTTTTAGATACATTTATATTTCTGTGTTCGTATGGAATAGTAGTTTATGTCGGGAAGCTGGCTTTAGTATAATCCGGCATTGCCTTTATTATTTACAACACATGGAATTTTTGATGACCCTTAACAAGAATATGGACGTGCTAGTATCGGAACTATTTCTTGCACGTTTATTTATCCAAAATTTCTTCAACGGCTCGGCGCCAGTGAGGGTATGCTGCGAATGCTGCATTATACTAAAACCAGCCTTTCGACATAAGCTACTATTCCATACGAGTGGAGCACGTGCGAAATGCGGATTTTCCCAGTTGCAGTACAGCAGTAACTCGACACCTTCCTCACCAACCGCTCTGTCCTCTATGAGCTTCTTAATGTAACTGCAAATAAAAGATGAAAATTTGAGAAAAAAATACTATCACAGCGTTTCACTTGTAGCGTTTCACTCTTGTAGTATATTGGCTATCAAGCACCAGAAAATTTCCATCACGCATGCCATATGCCACCGATTGTCGTGGATCAATTAAAATACTGTCATCACAGCTTTTTGGTACTCCAGCAACTGGTGTGTCTATGGCGGAGTTATGTGGAGCTGTTGCATGACTAAAATCAATTTGGGCTCTTTGAGAACTGGCTTGTTTGTTGCGCGCTATTGGCATCAAATGTATGCAAATTAGATTTCCAAACGGGCAACTGTTGAATACAGGAAAAAATGTATTTTATATGGTTCCGCTAAAGTGCACTACTACCGTGGGGTGGGGTTTAGTACCGCTCACAACTATTTCGGGTTATTCCGTCCAAATGGGTGGCCCGATCCAAAAATAAATTTCACACACTTGTAGTCAAGGGTCCACGCAATATTTTAACACTCACTTTTGTAAATTTTGGTTACTAATTTATTTACAAATTGGGTTTGAAATATGCCCTTTTTTGTCAAATTCGGAAATTAGCGTACATTTATCACTCCTATTCTGCTTAAATTAGCCACTTTACTAATATATTTTTGTATTCCCCTTCACTTTACACTTTACTTGATTTGTTATAACTTGCTTTACGACTTTAATATTAACCAATTCATCACAATTCATTAAATAAAAACACCTTCAAAATCACGCGTCTGACTTTGGTTGCATATGCAAATTAAATGGCGGAGTTCAGCTGTCAAACTCCAAAATATGCAAAAGAATGAGAGACAAAAGAAGATAGGATATAACCCAGTAAGCATTAAAAATATACAAAGGTGTTCTCTGCAAAAGGTGTTCAGCTCCTTTTCTTCGCAAAACAGAAAGGAGAATTCTACTGCCTGAGGGTTATAATCCCTAAGTGCGGCCGAAGGCCGCCTACGCAGAAAGGTGTTCTCCGCAAAAGGTGTTCAGAACCCCTTCCTTGGCAACACAGAAAGGAGAATTCTACTGCCTGAGGGTTATAATCCCTAAGTGCGGCCGAAGGCCGCCTACGCAGAAAGGTGTTCTCTGCAAAAGGTGTTCAGCCCCCCTTCTTTGGCAACACAGAAAGGAGAATTCTACTGCCTGAGGGTTATAATCCCTAAGTGCGGCCGAAGGCCGCCTACGCAGAAAGGTGTTCTCTGCAAAAGGGGTTCAGAACCCCTTCTTTGGCAACACAGAAAGGAGAATTCTACTGCCCGAGGGTTATAATCCCTAAGTGCGGCCGAAGGCCGCGTACGCAGAAAGGTGTTCTCTGCAAAAGGTGTTCAGCCCCCCTTTTTTGGCAACACAGAAAGGAGAACTCTACTGCCTGAGGGTTATAATCCCTAAGTGCGGCCGAAGGCCGCTTACGTAGAAAGGAATTCTACGCAAAAATACATTTGTTAAAAAGAACATTTTTTTTTATAAAATTTTTTTTTTCTATTTTTAATTAACTTTTTATTCTTTATTCAAAATCCCCCCATATCTAATTTGGCATAATTTCTTTTATTAAAAAATCCCACGGTTTCTGTTAGTTGGGTCATATTCCACTTCAAACTGCTCAGTTTGCCTAAGAAAAATCCGTTTTTCCCCCTTTTTCAAACGGTTCCCTAGGTGCCTGTGGGAGGAGTCCAAGGGAGGGGTTCCCCTTTTTAGAAAGCGGCGACTGTCTCCTTTCTATTGGGGGGTGCTTTGGGGGCCCCGCCCCCTCCCCCTCCGCCCCCCACCCAAAAAACGGTGTGAGTGGTACTAAACATTTCCCCTACCGTGTATAAATTGGCCGACCTTCTAATAAATCCAATCCTATTGTATCGTGTTCGCCGCCAGTCACCAAGAAATTTCCACATGGGTGAAATGCAACATCATTCTCCGCGACGAATGCACTGTATTAGCTCGCCTTCAGCTTTGTCAAATATCTTAACGCGGTTCCAACTTAATGCTAAAGCCATCAGATTGCCGTCTGGATGCCATGCCAGCTGTCGTCCCATACCTCTTCCCCCGGTGAACGTTCGCATACATTCGCCTGAAAATGTATCGCAAATTCTTAACTTGTCGCCGCACGATGAAATGAACTTACCATTAGGGCTGAATTTTGCTGCGCGCACCCATTTGTGTGTATTTTGAATCAGTTGGGGTGTTCACAGTTCGTTCCAAATAGTGTCTGAAAATGTAGACGTCTACATTTTAAGACGTTTTCTAACCGTAAAATCTGTGGTGTTGTTGTTTCCCATACAAAATTGGAAAACGACGCCGTCTACATTTTGTCACACTCAAAGGTATGTTTTTTACGCGTCTACATTTTGCAACCTCGCAGCAGGGTTGCATTATGGCAATACTAATCACATTTTTTTTATTTATTGGGCACGTTTTTTGTATTTGCATTTAATTTGAGCGCAATTTCTGATGAAAAGAAACAAATCAAGGAAAAGAAATAACAAATATTAGGAATTGGTAATTAAGTTAAATAATTACAATTTTTCAGAAACAAAATCGAAAGGCGATATATAAAAAATGCACGCAAAGAGGAAATGTCTGGCAACACCAGCAAAGTTTTGAGACGATTTTGCGACGACTGCTAGAAAGGGGTCCTCACAGTTTGATGCTAAAGATGTCTCAAAATGTAGACGTCTACATTTTCAGACATAATTTGGAACGAACTGTGAACACCCCAAGTATTTTGATGGCTGTTCGCCATTTTTCTAGTCTGCAAACGAATAAGCTGACGAAGAAGCAAACAAATTCAAGCACATTGTTGCATTCTACCGTACATTTTAAAAGCTTTAAAATCTTAAAACATATGTGAAAAACTTTTATAATCTGAATATTTCTAATGTCGCAATCAAAACCAAATTTTATAAATAGCATTTTTAAAAAGCAATCATCTAATATTTTTCAAGTTTTTGGGCATATATGTTACCATTTGAACAACTAATACTACCAAGTTTTAAGAGACTATTTAATGCAACTCAGGTCAAAAAAGCGCACTTTAGACCAAAATAAGCAACTCTAAAAAACAGATGATCGCAGCTGTGGCCCAGGATGACGTCTATTGCTAAGATATCTCACTTGTATTTGTACACAATGACTGCAACGACACACCCTTTCGTCGTGAAGAAGCAAGGCAAAGGAAAAGGATACTACAGCAGCGAACATAATTTCATAACATAAAAAGTAAATGAAAAATAAAAACGAATGCATAAATAGTGGCAGAAGGAAAACAAAAAGGCAAGGTTGTGGTGCAGTTCCTATACCTGTATAGATACATATGTATGTACAAATATATGTATGCACATTAGGGTGATCCAAAAAAAGTAAAGTAGAAAATTTAATGCTCTCACCCCCTAGGATTGTTCTATATCGAAAAAGGTATCCCCCTATTTTTTTTATTTTGAAATCAAAAAATATTTACTGGATGCTCAAAGAGCTCAAAGTTTTCCATGTATTTTATGTATAGAGGAAGAAACTTTACGTAGAAATGATATCGAATTCTCGAAAATCAATATTTTTCGATCGGAAAACTATGGTTTTCTGCAGGAGACTTTCAATATAAATTCCGACCTTACTTTTTCACATGCATTTTTGGACCACCCTAATATACATACATACTGAATATGCAATTATGTATGTATGAATGTGCACAGGAGGGGCATATTGTATTTCAGGTAGGTACTTACCAGCGCCGTACTCTGCCGCACCACCTGCGACACGGAGTCGCGTAGTTGTGCCGCCATACCGGCTTTGTTGTTGTTTAGGCCGCGTGTGAATTTGCGTTCGCTCATCTTGGCCACAAATCAAATTGTGAAGGCCAAATAGAAGCAGCAAGAACGGCAGGCAGGCAGGCAACGCGAAGAAGACGAACGCGTTTCAATAAGAATTTATACAAGTGAAAAATAAAATACCAAAAAACAAGTTTATGGAAAAAAATAAAATACGATACAGATGGAGGAGAATCGCACAGCGTTGGAAGACGCTATTCCAAGTGCGTGCGTAGTCGTTGTTGGTTGTTGGCTGATGGTATTTGTAGAAGTGTAGAAGTTGAAAGGAAGCACACAGATGATTGGCAAACACTGAAGCACTTGGTATAGGTACGTAGCAGCAGATGACAGCAGGGGCAACAAACGAGTTGTTTCCTTTTTTTGTGGTTGTTTTTCTTATTTTTCGTAAGTTTGTCAAACACAGAGGAGGTACACGTCCTGGCTGGCGTGTGACGCGTGTTCTTTTATTTTTATAGATATTTTCTTAGTTATTTTTAAATTGCAAATATGTTATGCTATTTTCGTCTTTTTACGCCTGTTTTTTTATTAAATGCCCGCACATAAAGACACATACATACACACTTGGTGTGAGAGTGTGTGTTCTGACACTTGGAAAAGGTCGACGGCTGGGAAGACACTGCTTATAGGTACCTTTTTTTTATTTTATCGAGACGATGAGTAATCAATGGTAATACTGTGGGCGCCGCAAACGGCACCCCACAACTTCGAAAAATGCACTCTGCTGTTTATTTGCTTCGTTTTGCACTTTTATTCGATATTTCTGCGGTTTAATAATTGTTTATACACTTTATACAACACATTTTCTTGACATTTGCGCAAAATTCTTGAAGGACATTCGCGTTCAACACGCATTCAGCTAGTAGCCACCCACTTGCTTCCTCCTATACATACAGACACGCACTTCGCAATGCGGCTTTTCCGCTGTTATACACAAAACACTTTGCAGATGATTTTCACAAATAGGAGAATTTGCTTTTTCGCAATTACCCAAAACATGCACAGCTTGCGTTTAAATTTTCTTTGTATATTTCAAGAATATTAAGAACACAAGTAGGGGTAATACTTTTCGCCACCAAATTTTCCAGACACAAAAAAATATTCTTAATATTTATTACAAACAACAGCTCGTAAAACAGAATTTATTTTAATGCTAGCCATTCGCTTAGCATCATTGCACATCATTTGTTTATGAGTTTTCGAATTTGTTTACTTTTTCTAATTCTTATAATTTTTTGCTTTGCAATTCAAATTCCAAACATTGATTCACCCACACACAAATACATAAATATGTTTAGCAGACCAAGAATAAACGTGCGGCAACCGCGATAACAACGAAAATTTAACCAAATCAGCCGACGCGCGTTTTATGACTGAAAAACAATTCGTTGCAATTCGCCGTGCAAGCAGCCGAAAGTGAGCAACCCTGGCAAACAGCTGTTCAAAAATGGATGGAATGTGGAAGCTAAAACCGGTAAAGCTGCCATGTAATTGCGCTCAACAGGAAATTATTTTTATTTTATTAAATTGGACTCTTGTTTAGCTAACTAATGCTGTTGAATTTAAAACTTAATGCAAAAGCTGTCTGTAGAAAATATTTTAATAAATTATGTTAACGTTTGATGTTAATAAATGGAACATAAAAATTAGAATGTAGCTTGTTTAATATTTTGAAACAAGTGGCAACTTGTAGCTGCCGAGTCCACTTCGTAAATTTTTCCGCCGGATGTGAATAAAGAAAAATAGCTCTGCGTGTTTGAATATTTTACAATTCAAGTGAAAAGTAAACTACACGCATATTTAATTGTGCAGCTAATAGTTTCCAGTTCATTTAACGAAAAGTGTATAATTCAACATAAATACGTGCAACGAAAAAAGTGTAAAACATAAATAAAACAGCGTAAACGAAAATGTAAGTCGGCGTCGCCATCATCCGGCGTCGTTTGAAGCGAACATTTGTACGGTTAATTGGAGTTCGTTGTGCAAGTGCTACGACTCTTATAAGATTAATACATATATAAAGTGATAAATGATAATATAAATGGTAATAAATATTACAATCATACATATATGTACATATCACTTTAATTTGAAAAAATTGGGCAGGCGTCCTAAAAAATATATGAATGCAAATAAAAACACGAAGTTTTCATAAAACAGCCGCTATATAACAGTCGTTAAAGACGAACATGTTACGTTGAATTTTCAGAGTGGCGGTGTTTGTTATAAATATAAGAGTTTTTTAATAAGGTTTGTTCGTTTCAGATAAGGATTTAAATTAATAGAAGGAATAATTACATTTCTGCACATAACTACATATTAAAGGCTTGTATGCAGCTCTCAAGAAAACGGCCAAGAAAAATTTGCCATTATTTCGTGTGTGTGTCCAAGGAATTTTGAAATTTTTGATACTTCACAGCTTGTTGCCTCACTCTTTCCTCAAGAAATAATGGAACGGGCATATATTTCTGTTGCAAACCTGGGTTGCCTTGTGCTCTTATTTCACAAAAATCTTTAGAAAACCGTAGTAGAAAGCGTAGTAAACTTCTTAAGAACTGCGTACTGCCTTAAGGAAATTTGACGCAAGAAAATTTCTTAGCCATTTCTTGTACGTCATTTTATATGGAGTTTTTGCTTTTCTTGAGAGCTGCATACAGGCCTTAAAAAAGAAAATACGAATGGTTGGTACCGCAGTGGCAGCTGCCGTATTGTTTTATCGTCACATTGCGAACGTGTAAACTGTTGAGTTTATGCAGTTACGGTCGATGGTTTAATTAAAGGAGGGTAAATCTGGCGCTTCATATGTATGTATATATATACGTACTTATGTATGTATGTACATTAGGCTGCATCACTCCCCATAGAAAAAAATCGATAGATGCTGTGCTTCCATTATAAAATCGATTATATTTTAAGACTTCCACCAAAATATTTCGGACAAATATTAAGATTTACGTGAGCTGGACCGATTTGAAAATACCTTCAAAAATGTAGTTTTTTTATGAATAAAAATAGTTTCTTAAAGATGCTTTTTGAAAAAATCCCCTTAAATGACAAAACGGTTTTAGCTTAAAAAATTTGCATAAAAATATTTAAAAAAATGGTTGACAAATTTTCACGGAATCGTAATAATGAGATCTTTGGCGCTGTTTTTAAATTTTTTTCAAAGATTGATATACAAAAAACTTGAATATCTGAACGTAAACTACTCCGCTTTAGGCTTGTGAGGTGTTATTGGAAAGGTATTTTTTCACCCTTTGCTAATAAACTCATTCAAAGGATGAAAGAGAAAGGTGGGATGAACGAGTATCATTACAAGTTTAATTAAGATGTGTTGGTATTTGAAAAAAAAAATTGGGTCCTGAATAAATTTTTTTTGCACAGAAATAAAAAGAGTGGGAAAATAGCTTTCTACTAATACCTATGTACATTAGTCTAAATCGGAATAGTCTTGGCCCAGTTATTCAAGTTTTCGTAAATCAATCTTGAAAAAAGTTAAAAAAACAACATCAAAAATCTGATTATTGCGATTCCGTTGAAAAGATTTTTAAATATTTTTGTGCTGATTTTTTGAGCTTAAGCTGTTTTGTCATCTGAGTGGATTTTTTTTTTTTCAAAAAGTTATTTAAGAAACTATTTTTATTCAAAAAAACTCCATTTTTGGAGGTCCAGCTCACGTAAATCTTAATATTTTTTCCGAAATATTTTGGTGGACGTCCCGCAAACCCGCAGCTTTTTTGGGGATGCAGTCTAATGTACATACATATGTATGTACATGTGTACGGACATTTATGTATGCAGATATTTAGCCTTGAATGAGACATTATAAAAATCTTCAAAGCACTTATTGTGGCATATTTATTAGATTATTTTACTCATAATGATTACCGTCCCTGTTAAAAAGTGATTAAACTCTGGTAAAAAGACGAAATTAATTAATATGTATTAAACGAAATGTTATATAGGTGTTCTCCAATTTTTGGAGTCGTTAAAATTTTATCGATTTATCGGTGAAATGAAAACGTAAAAATTTTCTTGAAATCGTAGAACACAAAATTAGAAATTGGAGCCCGGCTATACGCTACTCTGTTAGCGAATTAAAAATTGTTTTTTTCTGTAAATGTTCTTTTAACCCAACCACACGTTCGCATTTTAGCTGAAATATTCAAAACGCTGGAAAGAAATTCTGCTGCAACAATGCCGAAATCAAATCAGAGGTAAGATATTTTATTTTAACATAAAAACCATACATACACATGTATTATTTATTTCTTGCTACTTCCGTGTCAAATATGCTTGCGCCTAAAACTCTACTTTACACATTAATATGGGAACAGTTTGGGAGAGTGAGGTTGAACGCATACAATGGCAAACACTACTTCGATCACTGTTGCATGTGTATCCAGGAAATACAGTGCGATGTACGAAAAAGTGATTGTAAAAAATCTCCGCTGACAATTTTTTATTAATTTTTGGGGTCTATAGGATGCGTCAAATCCGGTGCGTTGTATCCTTTTTTGACTAAGTTTTAATTATCATAACAGTCACCCTAAACTAAACGTAAATCTACTAAATTTTTGTAAATATCAGACCAACTTGCTGAAAATAGTGTTAAAGTGCAGCCACACCTTTCTTTGTTAGCATAGAGCTCCTTGAAATTTAAAACAAAAATACACTAAGCAAAGAGCAAATCCAACTTGTATACTCTTTCTCTCCTAACTCAAAGCGCTAAAAATTAGCTGTGCATGAAGACCGATAATCTTTAACTATAAACCATAAAATTTCAGCAGTCGTAAATTCAATTATTGCACTCTACCTTGCCAGCTGGAGCCAGTCGAGAGAGTGGACGTCAGTGACATCAACTCCAAACAGAGCAAACTCAACCAGCCAGCTAGCCGGCAAAACGCCAGCCCAAAAAAAAAACCTGTCGGTTACGCTCAGCTATAAACGTAGCTATGCAGATACTTTGTTCATATGTATGTATATACTCGTACTCGTAAATGGAAGTGTGTTTTTGTGCATTTACCTCATCGGCTGATTTGTTTATATTCTTAGCTACCTTTGTGTATAGCAATGTTTGACTATTTACCGCCTAGCCAAAGGTAGACGCACTACTTTTGGCCAGTCTATATATGAAATTGTGTTTACATACCGCTTGTCCGATTTCATACACACACACACATGCATATAACTTTTGTCTGCTTATAGATAAATTTTTCAATGTTTTTAATGTAATTCCCTTTGCTTGCTGAGCAAATCCTCCACTGAGTGGTCGATCGCAACAAGAGTATCTGCTGAATGCACACTCATCGCGCTGGTGTAGGCAATCTCATCGGTTGAATTGGTTGATCTCCAATTCCCAGTTGTGAGTCGTATTGCTTCGAGACGTTCGTTCAGTGTTGAGCGGTGATTTTGTGGAGTCAGTTCGTTAAGACGGATATTTTTAGACGGAGCTACGGTCTTTGAGAAAATTAAAAAAATATATACATACATATGTATATGTACTTGGTACGGTTGTGTGTATATTAATATGCATATTGTATATATGTATGTAAGAGTGTGTGCCTACATAAATATATAACTAACTAACTACAGACAGCATAAATATTTTATGTACATGCATACATACCGCCATATGTGCTAGAGGAAAATGGCTATTTATCAACTGGACTCGGGCAATGGTGAGTATGGACTTCATTTTACATAGTTTTGTAAAAACGAATGGAAAATATGGTGGATAAAAGTGTTTTTTTTTTCTTAAAAATAATGCAAATTGTGAATGAAAATGTTGCAGTTTACACCTAACTGTTAATACATACATACCTACGTACATACATACATATGTACGTACAGATAAAAGGATATTAAAATTAAAATTCTTTCAAGCATAAAAGTGACTTGTGATAAATAGTAGCAGCGACTTTTACTGCGAACGGCGGCGCACCATTTTATTATGCTTCCGTTAACATTCTGTGGGTGCATTTCATATCGCTTGCTTTCTTTTCTTCTTCATGGTTTTTAATTTTTTTCCTCTCTTGCTGCTTGCTGGCTCTGCTGCTGGGCTTAAGCCCATCACATGTTTTACTTGCGCTGTTTTCTGCCTTGGACTTATCGCTCTGTGGGTTTCTGTTGTAGTGAAAAAATTAAAAAATTCTTGTAAAAACAATTCGATATAATGCAGGCGCATGCAACTGATAGAAACTATCTGTACCAATACACACATATACTGCATACATACATATGTATAGTGTACATAGTACATACATTCATACATACATATATATGTAACTATGCAAGCTCATATGCATTTACAAATTTAAGAACACAACTTGCTTGGAAAAAAATATTGTAGAAAAA